TAGTCTTTTCAACAAATGATTCTGGGACAACTGGATATCCACATTGTAAAGAATGAAGTTGGATCCCTGCCTTACATCATACACAAAACCTAAAATGGATTACAGGCCTGTTTTGGTTATAGCAGAAACTAAAACTCTTAAAAAAAACACAGCAGCAAATCCGTGTAACCCTGGATTAGGCAATGGCTGCTTAGATAAGACCCCCAACACACAAGTGACAAGAAAACAAATCAATAAATCGGACTACTTTGAAATGAAAGACTTTCTGTTTTAAAGGGCACAGTTAAGAAAGTGAAACAACAGTCCCCAGAATGAGAGGACATGCCTGTAAGTCATATATCTGATAAGGGACTTGTATCTAGAATATATAGAGAACCTTATAAGTGAAACAATTAAAAAGAGAGCAATTAAGCTGGGCGTGGTGGCACACAGCTACTTGGGAGGCTGACCAGGAAGATTGCAAGTTTGAGACCAGCCTGGGTAATGTGTCTCAAAAATTTTTTTTTTAATTTTTAAAAAAATGTTTTAAAGGCCTGGGGATATAGCTCAAAAGTAAGTGCTTGCATAGCACATGCAAGGACCTGGGTTCAATCCCCAGGACCACACTCACACTAAAAAGACTCATTACCCAGTTGAAAAAAAAAAAAAAGAACAAAGGATATGAATAAATATTTCTTCAAATAAAATATTAAAATGGCCAATAAGTTCATGAAAATATATTCAACATTATTAGCCTTCATGGAAACGCAAATTAAAACCACAATATCAATTCACACCCACTGGGATGACTAAAATAAAAAAAAAGACAATAACATGTCTTTACAAAGATGTGGACAAACTGGATCCTTTCCACACTGCTGTGGGAATGCAAAATGCATGGCTACTTGGAACAATTTGGTAGATCCTCAGGACTATTGATCATAGAATTATCTTATGATTCAATAATTCTGCTCTTATGTATATCCCCAAGAGAACTGAAAACAGGTATTCAAGCAAATACTTATGTGAATATTCACAGTATCACTACTCCACACAGTCAAAAGGTGGGAACAGCCCAAATATCCGTGAGCTGATGGATAAAGTGTGATCTATCCATAGAAGGGAATATTACTCAGCCATAAAGTCAGTAAGTAGTAACATAGGATATAACGTGGATGTATCTGGAAAAAAGTATTCCAAGTAAAAGAAGTCATACCCCAAAGACCACACATTGTATGATGCTACTTAAATGAAATGTACAGAACAGATGAATCTACAAAGACAGAAAGTGAACCAGTGGTTGCGCCGGGCTACAGGAGGAAGATGGGAATGGGTAATGAGTGGTGATTGGTATGGGGTTTCTCTTTGGGGGATGATGAAAAAGTTTGATATTGACAGCAGCAGTGGCTATACAACTTTGTGTAGGTACTAAAACCCACGGAACTAGACTCTTTAAACCTCTCATTTTCACTTATTCAAATTCCTCCTTCTTCCTGAACCACCCTTTCTTTCCAAGTGGGGTCCTCTTCAACCTTCACCCTATAGTAACGCAGCTGTCTCTCCTGTGTGATTCTCTGCTCAACGCCTGCTCTCACTGGGCTACAAGCCCCAGGAGGGCCGGGGTCAGGCTTTGCTGTTGCTGAATTCCCTGGTGTCGGCAGCATCCACCCAGAACAGTTTCTACCCGATTCTGCGACAAGGTGAGGGGGTACAGACTGGAGCTGTGGGGGTCCCACCGGGTGGGAAGATAAACTTACTTTTGTAGGCTGGCCATCTGCTTCACAGCTTGCACGGCCCCTGGCAGAGGCTCAAGTTCAAAGAAGAAATTCTTCGTCTCCCAGATGCTGATGGCCTTCTCCTGAAAAGTCAAGAGAAGCAGATTACCTCCAGGCTCCACAGTGAGTGTATGTGTGTGTGTGTGTGTGTGTATATGTGTGTGCGCACTCGCATGCATTCTGGCCCCTTTCCAGGAAGGATGTGACTTCTGTTAGGATCCAGCAGGGACCAGCAAAGGGGTTAGCTCTGTGGGGAGGCACATGGGGTTCTCTGGGCTTAAGGTCAACCTTCCCAAACCACAGACTTGATTCGAATGAATGAATGACGTACTGTGGAGGCTGGAGAGAGGACCAGGTCTTGCAATGGCAGAACTGTCAATAGACTTGAGGGCTGGACAATCTCAGAGACCCTGGAAGTGCACAGCTGAGCCAGGTGGGACAGGGGGAGGGGAGGCAGTGTGAAAGGTCAGGAGAGCACCAGGCTCCTCCTGCCAACCAAAACAGTTCTGCTTTGATGTTCTTTATGTGTTGAGGTGCCAATAATAGCTTTAAAAAAAAAAAAAAAGATTCTGCCGCTTTTAAAGTTTGAAAGCAAAAATTCAGACCTTCATTTTATTTTATTTTTAAAAATATTTATTTTTTAGTTGTAGTTGGATACAGTACCTTGAGTTAACTTATTTATTTTTATGTGGTGCTGAGAATTGAACCCAGGGCCTCGCGTGTGCTATGTGAGCACTCTACCACTGAGCCACAACTCCAGCCCCAGACCTTCATTTTATATGAGAAAACCAAGGGTCAGAATAGGGAAGATATCTACCCTATGTCACACAGCAAGACAGTGACCTTGCTGGGAGTAGAATACCCCTATCTCTTCACTCCCAGGGCAGTAACTTTCTACCTTTTGCTATTAGGCCTAAGCCCAATTTTCAAAAGGCAGCACCTCTTCTGGGGCCAGGCAAGGGGAAAGTGATAAATCTCAGTTTCTGAGAATCAAGAACCTAAATTCAGGTGTACAGTTCAGAAGTGCCTCTCTTTTTTTTTTTTTTTTTAAAGAAAGAGTGAGAGAGGAGAGAGAGAGAGAATTTTTAATATTTATTCTTTAGTTCTCGGCGGACACAACATCTTTGTTGGTATGTGGTGCTGAGGATCGAACCCGGGCCGCACGCATGCCAGGTGAGCGCGCTACCGCTTGAGCCACATCCCCAGCCCCAGAAGTGCCTCTCTTGTAAGAGATCATATAAGCAATATTCTTGTGAACTACACAGGGCTAAGTAAATGCGCACTTATTGCTGAGATAGGTCTTCTTGTCTGATACTCCCAATCCCCAAGAACCAAAGATCACTCTACCCAATTTACAGAGAAGGGAGATTTTGTTCAAGGACGCTTAGGGGTGACACCATCAGGACTTGAACTCATGTAGAGACAGTCTGGATGAAGTCCAAAAGCCCTGGTCCTTGCCGTGTGACCTGGGTTCACCACCTCCACTAAATGAGCCTCTCTCCTATCCCCAGAATAAAGACAGAAGCTCACCCCTTTCTTACAGGGTTCTTATGAGGATGTGACAAATACAGTAACCTCAATACTCAAGTCTCTCGTTGAGATGACAGTTTCTCAGTACCCCTTCCCTGACACTAACTTGCTGGGAACCACTAGTCAACCCTCTCTGGCTCAGTGCATCTGTCCTAACAGTCTAAGATTCTAAGTCTGTTAAAAATGAGCTTTTCTTTCCGTCTCTGCCCTGCTTACCTACCTAAATACTATGAAGATCAAAGGGAACACAGATAATGCAATCAGCCTTCCATATCCACAGGTTCTGCATGCAACAGACTCAACCAACCACAGATAGAAAACATTTGGAAAAAACACACTGCATCAGTACTAAATATGCAGAGACATTTTTCCTTGTCATTATTCCCCTAAACAGTGCAGGATAGCGACTATTACATTGTATCAGGCATTATAAGTTATCTAAGTGTGACTTAAAGTATACGGAAAGTGGGTAGGCTACATGTAAATACTACACCATTTTATGTAAGACACTTGAGCATTTGTGGATTTTAATATCCAAGGGAGATCCTGGAACAGTCCACCTGGATACTAAGGGACTTTATTCTGTAAAGTAGAAGTGCCTTATCCAAACACAGGTTCCTCCCAGAGCACCTCCTACTTCCTCCACGAGCTGCTCCTTCTCTCTGTACTGGGAAAACAGGAAACTGTCTCCTTAGACCTTGAGCCTGGATCTCTGTGAAAAGGGCACGAAAAACCACTGTGCTTTTCAGAGTTGAGGATGGACTTAGTTCATCCATCATAAACTCTTGGGAGAAAATAAGGTGTCCTGAATTCCAGTACTCGGTTACTTATCGACATATGAACACCAAACATCACTGAAATGACATGGGTATGTCCTTTGGTTTTTCAGTTTGAGGTCTCAGTACCAGGAGAGATCAGCGTACCAGGCTCTGTGGAATTCACCTTCGGAAGTCCTGGTTTTGAGGTAGGATAGAAAAGAGATTAAAAGATAGGCTGAAAGGAAACAGAAGGAAAAAAGAGACTCCAACTTTAAATATAAAATCCCCATGATCACAGGACTTGACACCTTTATTCCCCAGACCTGTCGTGCTTACCAGCCTGTTACCCCCAAATTCTTGAGAAATCGATAAATCTGAAAGTTATCATAAATTCACTCGTCTATGAAAATTGCCTGGTTTTAATGCTTATGAGCACTATTAGCTTACACAATGTACTTTTCAATTAGATAAAGAAAAAAGGAGATGTATTTTAAGAAACCTACAATATAGGCACATTCCAAATGTTATCTAGAAAAAAGAGAAAATGACAACCTGAACACTTCAGAAGACCACACCGTCTTAAACATCTTGTAATCACCAGGCAGATGCCATTCCCACATACCTTCTCAGGTCCACCCCACAGAGTTTCCTTTAAAAGAAAAGCCCGTGAGCCAAGTGCAGGGGTAGATGCCTGTAATCTTGGACTCAAGAGGCTGAGAGTTAGAGGACTGGCTTGGGCAACTTAGGAGGGCCTGCCTCAACAAAACACAAAAAACAAATAATAAAAATAAAAGGACTAGGTTGTAGCTCAGTGACAAAGTTCCACTGGGTTCATTCCCTACCACCAAAAAAGAAAAGAAAAACCTGTGACCCAAAAAAGTGCTTCTCACTCAAAATGGACCATGGTCTGCTCTGAGAATGCCTATCTTCATCTAATACAGCTCTTCCTCTTTGCTACAACCTGATGCATCTTTAAATTCTTTTCTGCAAAATGTCAAGAACCTAGAAGGTCTGAGCAGAGATCTCCTTCCCACCCTCTTATGGTGAAACTTTGAATAAAGAGAAATGGTACTTGAGTACTTCCTGACACCTGAACCTCAGGAAGACCCTTCTCCTTCACAGTGTTTCACCATGGTAAGGCGCTGGGTCTATCCTGGGGAGGTGTGCTGTTCCACCTTCCAGGTCCTCCCCTGTACAGGATGCCCACACTTAGCAGGTGGGAATGTTTCTACTACTCCCTGAAACTGGAGGGCCCAAGCAGGAGCGAAGAGCAGCTCTGGCCTCCAAGTTGGTACTTGTTTTCCCCCAAATTATTGTGGGACAAAACAAATTGTTGTATTGTGCCTTGTTGGAGTCAGAAGAAATGTCAATTGTTAGGGCAGGGCAGGCGACAGGACTTTGGAAGGGAAAAGCTAAAATGTGCCTAGCAGGCAGGCAGACTGGAGTTTGAATCCTGCCAGGGCCTCTTATGGATCTGATGACTTGGCCAAGTTTCCTCATCAGCAAAACGGAGATAACAATGCCTACCTTCAGAAGAGATAAGGCAGTAAACTTGGGCTCTTTATCCTCACCATCAAACCCTCTGCAGTAACCCCAAGGGGCTAATCAAGGGATGCTATAAAATTCCCAGCCTCTTTTAGTTTGTGCATGGCAAAATTCTCTGTTCCTTTCACAAAATAGTTTAAATCTTACAAATTATGCCCTCTGCAAAGGTCCCTGTATGGATATTTCTATCTATCCATGAAGGACTCAGGGGGCAGAGCACAGTTTGGGGGCGCTCAGGTATTCAGCAGGACAGGTATTTGGCACTGAATTTTGGGACAGGCTAGGGGGTGGATTCCACCTCACCTTAACCATAGGACTCCCTGTGTGGCACTCTAAAATTCTCTGAGCCTCCAATATCATACAAGCTATGCTTTCGTGGAATAGGGCAAAAAAGAAGGGTAAAGACACCTGTTAAAGTCATAGGTAAAATTTTAATTAACAAACGACCTGAAGACAAATATATCGAAAATTGAAAAATCGGCAGCAGAAAGAGAGTTTAGGTATATCATCATTAGAAACCCCTGTGACAGCCAAAGATAAATGGTGCAGGGCAGCGCTTGGCGCTGCTCTCTCGTCCTCCCCAGAACCCTACTTTACAAGAGGACCACCCCAAGGCTAGGGCGGTGACCCGCGCAAGGGAGCTCTCCGCCCAGGGCTGGGAAGGTAGCCTCGATTTCCCTGTCCGCGGTGAGCAAGAAGGGCGGCCCGAGAGACACCCCGAGGGGACCGAGGCAAGGGATGCTCACGCTCAATCCCGGCCGCAGGAGGCCGTATTGCTCCGACACCCAGAAGCCGCGCCGGTCCTCCAGCGCGATGAAGGGCAGGTCGGGGAAGCGCGCGCGGAACTTCTTGAG